ATGGCCATTAATTTAGTACTTATTGCGAAACAGTACCTTTTTTAATGTAGAATCAGCAAAGGAATTAAGTGTGATTAGATTATCTTATTCATCCCTTAACTATATCCAGCGTAGAATTGAGCGTTCACCAACAATGTAAGAACTCGAAATAAATTTTACCATTTTAATTACTTTGTGCGTTGGCTATACTAATTTTATCACGACATTATGTATTTTGTATCAGACTTGGAACCTTTACTAAAACGTCTGCTTCGTGAACTGGATCAAATAACACTGAGTTAATATAGAGAAATTGGATCAACTGAAAAGTAGTATCAGGATTAACTGTGAGATTTAGATTTTAGTGAAATCACTGGGATAGTTTTGGCTTATTGGTTTCGGGAGTTGACTTTCAACCAGTACGTTGCCGGTTCGAGCACCGCTCCACTTACCAAGGTTTAGGCAATCAGGTAGTATCACCCGTCACACAATAGGCTTGGTTGATTGCCTACTGCATGAGAATGTACACAAGGTTGTTGAGTGGGTTTCGATTTTTTTAAATCACCAGGACACTACGAATTAAGGTAGATATTTCTGCCCCTCGGAGATATTAGTAAACCTTCCGAGTGGTAGGTTGTCTTCATAGGTTATTTTTCTGTGAAAGAACTAATGTAGTTTTTCTGTTTCTGTTTCTTCCTGTAGTCGCTCTTCGAAATATTTTCATATCAAGGTAGTAAATATCGTTTGCCCAATGTCCAGATTTTTTCGGACCATTAAATCCCAACTTCGTTTAGGTATCTATAAATTCGGATGATCCCAGTCTTCTCGCACCTCTCTGATAAATTGCTCTACGAGTTCTTGTTGATTACCAATTATCACCTACTCCTAAAACAACACTCCTCAATACCACGACCAGGTCTAAGCTCAATTTTTTAAATAGCATCGCCTGCAGCAGCTGAAGTAATTGTTGATATCAGCAACTAATCAACAGTAGCTTTTTCAACATGAGACTTGGTAATCCAACAAAATACCCATCTACTTAATAAGTATCTACTCCGACATTGTCACTCAGACAACAACCACGAGCACACTGAGTTTCGGAGTGGCTATCATGATATCCCCAACAGTATCGAAGGCTCTCTCTCATGTAGTGGGAACCAATCTCCTCCTCCTCCACAATCAGGATCATAACAGCAAGATTCAATTCAAAAGGAAGGAAGCTCACAATCATGCAATGCTACCTTATGCACCTACAATAATGTAGATCAAGAGAAGAAGGAGAAATTCTACAGACAACTGCAATCAGTACTGGACAACACTCCACTCCACTCCAATTGGCGACATCAAAATTCATTCTAATTGGTGGGGTGACATGAATGCCAAACTGGAAGCGAACAACACAGGAAGAGAATGGATCATGGGCACTCGGTGAGATGATGAATGAGAATGGAGAACTGTTTGCAGACTTCTGAGCATTCAACGACTTGGTGATTGGAGGCGAGGCAGTGTGTACAAACACAAGAATATTCACAGGGCAGCGACATGAATTTGATTTCACCGGACACCAAAACACACTAAAAATCCACTTCACGTCGACTTCATCTCAATGTGAAGAAAGTGGAGACACAGTCAGCTTACTAGACACAAGATCAGATGGAGGAAGGAGAGCAGATGTAGGTTCACACCACTCACTATCTAGTGCAAGGAACCTACATAGCTTGAAAATCAAGTTGAAAGTCTTCAAAGAAGTTGGTGAGAGGCCACAGTTCAAGTTCAACACCCACCCAGAACACAGACTGAACTGAAGGACGAAACTACAAAGGACATCTTCACGTCAAGCAGTCATCCAGTCATTCAGTGAGTGAGTGAGTCAGTCATTATGACAAAATGGGAGACATAACATTGAGCAACATCCCTGAAGAAACCTGGGTGGATGAACACTGGAACTCTTTGAAGGAGATGTGGAAAGAAACCTGCATAACCGTATTAGCAAGGAAGAAGAAAGAAGACGAGACGAAACGAGGAATGGATCTTGACAGACATATGGAAGCTGATAGAGGAGGGAGAGGAAAATGGTGAAACCGGAGATGAACCAGTGCAGTGCACGTCAGTGTAGTGCAAGAATGAACAACGAAAAGAGGAACTGAACACAACCTATAAAACACTACACTGGACGAATAAGTGAAGAAGAGTGCGTGCAAAGACAAAAGACACTTACTTCTAGGACACACTTGCAGGTGAAGCAGAACAGGCTGCAAGTAAGAGAGACAGAGACCTGACAACACTATATCAAATAACCAGGTTACTATCTGGTAGGGAAGAGATCAACGCAGATGAAACCAGTGAGAGATAGTGAAGGAAAGCTAGTTAGCAAAGAGGAGAAACAAAGGGAGAAAACCATGGGCTGACCACTTCAAAAAACTCATGAGTCGACCATCACTACCAGCTGCAACTCGTCGAGAAATACCACCAGCAGCCGAGTCACAGAATTACCAGTGAACACAAGCCCTCCAACAAAGCAGAAGTGAAGTCCTGAAGGCTAAAAAGTTGCTGAAATCCGGGAAAGCAGTAGGACCAGATGGGATTCCACCTGAAGCACTGAAAACAGACGTAGAGACAGCAGCGGACATACTCATACCACTATTACAGAAGGTTTGGAAGAAAGGAAGGAAAGGTGCCTGCCAGTTGATTGGAAGAAGGGAGACCTAACTCTTTGCGAGAACTGGCGAGGAATCATGCTGCTGTCCACCCCAAGCAAAACAGTAAGCCTCATCATCCTGGAGAGACTAAAAGATGCCATGGATTCAAAATTGCAACCGGCACAGGCTGGCCGGTTTTACTTATGTTACTGTTATCATTTAGTTTCTTATGTGTTCGTACGAATTTCTTAATAAACGCCCAAGCACACAATAGGCTGGGATGAAACCACTGTACTCAAGTCCAATATAATTAGATGTAGAGAGAGATTGATTAATCTTTATTCATCGAATCTACACCCAAAACATGTAATATAAATGACACAACACCTATACCAGAGATATGCAAAGTATTAATGCCACTAGAAATAAATAATATGATGTGACAGGAATATAAGAATCAGATATCAGAAGTGGTGTGATTACACTGATATTTTAGGAATTGTCCTGGTGCGAACTCGACAGATGCAGAGGTCGATCGCTAATTATTCGAAATTGTTATGTAACCACGAAAACGAGACCAAGAAAGAACACAATAGCGAACTCTGATGGAATGGTTTATTTGCGAGGTCGGGCCGAGATACCGATGCGTCCCAACTAGCGGGCTAAAGGGTCGATTACGAGCAGCGCAAACGTAACACGACAGATGAATTGTTCTTGCTGAAGCCAACTAGCCAGCCTGTGCCGGTTGTAATTTTGAATCCAGGGCATCTTTTAACCTCTCCAGGATGATGCGGCTTACTATTTTGCTTGGGGTGGACAGCAGCATGATTCCTCGCAATCTGGGTAGCCTTGTTAGATTGATACTTAGTGTGGACATTCTTTGTCCCGATTCTGACTTTCGTTTTCATCGAGAGAAGACACAAACCAATTGGCGTCTTGAAGGTTGTCAGCGACTGGCGTCATTTAGCTTCTCCGATTCCAGTGAGGAATAAGTTCAGTTTTATAGTTTCCTTGTGCTTTGAAGTTTGTGTAGCAGTTCGAGTGGTTTTACTTAATGGGGTTGCTAACCCTATGCCGAACTAACCGTATTTATCCGGGCTTATGACCGGTTTGTAACTAGTGTACTAGTTAGTCAGGCGAGGTTAAGGGACAAATGATAATCATAACAGTAATAAATTTAATAAGCAAACAGAGTCACATGCTTGACATTCGCCACTGTAGCATTTTTAGGCCTGGCTTCAATAAGGTTAACAAGAATACAATTTATTCAGATCTCTTATGTGTCTTATTCATTTCAATATCCATTCCCTAAACGTTTATTTTCTGTTATTATTTTTATCCGTCTATGGAAACTGTTTCATGTCAGTTGGTATTGAAGGGATTTTGAACTGTCGTGATTTTTTGGAACGCATTTTATTTCTTTCTTATGTATTCATAATGGTAGCATCCGTCCATGCAAATTCAAAAGTATTAACTACCTTATGTAACGACCAGCAAAAGGGGTTGTTTTTATTCCATAAGCTGTTTCTTGCACTGGTCCTATACAACACCGAGAGATCTGTAACACTACCTTACTTTGTACCTTGAGAAATTAAACTTTTGGGTCCCGTAAATGACTAACAACTAGGGACAACGAAAAAGCCCGAAGGATATAAATTCAGACTACCACATTTCATGATAATGCAAAAAGAAATGTTCAAAAAATACATGAAATACATAGGTGCTTAGATTAGTTAAACACTCTAACACCAGTTGGAATTCTTCGTACAACACGACTCTGTGTAAGACTTATGGGAAAGGGTGGAGTTGTATTATTCAAACATTTAATCATCAATTCACATGTTTGAAATAAGCTCATTCCTACGAGGTTTGGGTAGTCAGTCCTACCTAACACATATTTGACCGGCATTATAATTCATAAACCTATTATCAGTAAGGAGTAGAACAACTTAACAGTCAAGTGTGGTTTCATAGATTGTTTTACATACTTCTTAAGTTTATGACACTAGCCAGCTGCACAAACCTGGATAGGTAGAACAAAAATTGAACTCTTGACTCAACTGATCTTCATATGTTTGTTGAGTCATGTTATTATTTTTACCAATATGCACTAATAATTGGTTATTATTCTTATTATTGAGGTCTGTTGGCAAGGCATATCTAAATTAATCAGGAATCTTTCCCATTTTAAAACTTCTAACTCTTGAATCGACTGTGTAAATGATGAGTGTTTGTGAAATAATTCCAGCGAATAGCTCTCCGTTTGAAAGTGGAGTTATTCATTTTGTTTTATTACCTTGTGATATCGGTGTCGTGTTTTTAAATAGTTTATTTAATGGCGGAGCGACCGGTTTATCTGTTACTGTAATTCTGTTTCCGCAGGAATTGAATTGGAATAATTGAAAGCGATGTCGAGTGGTGGGGCAGCTAGTGTTGTTACTATGAAAGCAACAGCTGCATTCCCACAATCAAATTCGCAAGCACAGAAACAGCATTCTCAAAACAACTTGCAACTAACTAATGCGTTTGACCAACATATGCAACTGCAACAACAACAGCAACACTTGTTGCAGCAGCAGCAACAACAGCAGCAGCAGCTGCAACACAACCAAAATCAGCACTCCCAGTTGCATCGATTATCGCAACCTCACCTGTCTTCGTCTATTCATCCTGCTCAATCAGTTGCTCAGAATGTTGCCGGTCATCCTGCACATCCAAGCGTCTTCCCAAATGCTGAGTTTTTTCAAACATTACAACAGACTGCAGCTGCTGCATTACCTACTGTACTCCCTTATGATCAATCTCAATACATTGGCCAATTGATGTATTTCCCATATCCTACAGCTGCTGCTGCTGCGAACGGACTGTTTAGCGCTGCTCAGTCTAATGATAATCACCATATGTCTATAGGATCATCTACACCTGGGGCTCAAGCAACGATCATTAATCAGGCTTCTTGTAATGCAGGACAGTTACTCAGCGGTGGAATTGTATCAGCTACACCTGGTGGAATGATGGCTTTGAACAACACAGGTGGTTCTAATCACATGAATAGCGCAAATCATCTCTTTGCATCTGGAGCTGGCCTAGTTGGTATTGGAGCGTCTGTTCCGAATGCAGTCTCAGTTACTAATTCTGTCGCTTCCGCCTCTTTGGCGCCTTTGTTTACAACAGCTCATTTTTATCCACATCACCATTCACAACAAACGGGTCAGCACCAACTTCAAATACAACATCAACTACAACAGCATCATCCCCACAATTCTGTACACATGCAGCATGTCCAGTCACTTGCTGGTCATGCAGGTGTTCATCTACAGCAACAGCAACAAAATCAGCAGTCAGTTGCTACTACTGTCCTGTTGCCCAGTTCTGTATCATCAGCACAAATTAATATGCTATCCTCACAACAAGGTCATCAATTGGTTCATTCAACACCACAGTCCCATGCAAACAATAAGTGTGAAAATCTACAGAAAACGGAAGATAAGTTACAAACAACTCCAGTACATACACCACAGAAACAGTCTGACCAGGAATTACTATCCCAATCTGCTCAGCTGGGTACACCATCTCAAGGAAATAATAGTTTGGATGCTAATTCCACAGTGAAGCGTGATAATAATGGAACAGGACATTTTGTGTAAGTTTTTTATTCATATATACTTAATCTGTATCACGTAACAAGAACTGTTTATCGTTGCTTAGGCGTATAGATTTTCAAGAAAAATAGTTCAGTGTAACCTACTTATTGTTAGAAATAATCTGTGTATTCATTCAAAGTAAATTTAGATGCATTAACATTTTAATGTTCTGCAGAAATGTAAAATGGTTCGTATTATCAGTTAACGACAGTCTTCATTACACAAGTTAATTGCCACATGTAGTTATCGTCACTTTGGCTACTTATCCTTATTCAACTATGAGCAGTGTCAATCGATTAAAAAAATGCACTACGGTTAGTTAGTTAGTACTGTTCTGTAACCTAACCCAGATTATAAGTTTATTGTCGACGTTCAGAGAGTGATGTGTATGCACACTTAAAGAAACTGACTTAAGTACTTGGGCCTACGTGGTTCACATTTGTAGTGAGTTCTACCACTCATTACCTACAGTTCTACTGAGGATCATGCATCATGAATTGCATTATCATCTGTCTGTCGTTCTTTGTACATCATACAGTGACCAGTCCTTAACCAAATAAGTTAAAAGTAACGTCTCCAGCTGTATTGGTGCATTATACAGGATCGATTCTTAAAAGGATTATAAATTCCCTCAAGATTGCAATTACGCTATGCATTAGAGTATAAACAAACACAGAACTTTTGTCAATCAAACTCCTTTTAACTGCCATTCAATCGTTCAACCACAGATTTTTTCCAGCCTAAGATGATATTTTATACCAGCAAGGGAACTGCCTCTGTGATAAATTGAATCGGGTCTGACAGTCAACTATTTGAAGTACTTACAATGAACCGTCTACTAAGGTCTTCCTAAACAGTTATTCGGTAATCGAAGTCAGTTGTAGTTCAGTGTTCTGTAGTAGAAAAAAGCATTTGTCGGTAATATCAGATTTTTTAGACTTCCTGTACACCTCAGAGTGTGCTACATTACTCTGACGGCCCAATAGATTATGTGGGTTGAAAATTGAACAATTTTGTATATACTTCCGATGATTATGTTCTTGTGAAGTTAACTTCACTTCTTGGTCGCATTTTGGTAAATGTCCTACTACTCTAATCATCCTACTAATCCTTCGCGACAAAAGTCAGTGAAAAAGTAGACTTATTAGAAAGGGGCAATAACGAAATTTAGGGTCCTTTGAACATCTTGAGTGGAAATATTTGATTGTAAATAGTCTTCAATAACTAATCTACATGAAATCAGTTGGTCGGTTAAGTACGTTAACTACTTCAGTTATTCAGGGAGTTGTATCAATCAGAATCTCGAGATAAAGAAAGAAAGCGTATTTGGTTGCAATATATTGTGCATGTTAAATCACCATGTACTCTGACATTCGATGATATACAGCAGAGGTAAATTGGAAAAAAGCTAAGGGGTACTCATTCAAAACTGATTGCCATTTCATAAAGTCAGTGACTAAATGTCAATCAAATAAAGTGTGAACTGCTTGGTTGAGATTCTACGGACACTAAATATCAGAAAAATAGATAAACGCATAACCTTGCACAAAAGTGTATTAGTTCAGTTTATTACCCTCTATAATACTGATACAGGAAGTCAACGGAAATAAAAGAATATTACAACAAACAAGAAAAGGAACGTAAGTAGCGGCAATCTGTGTAAAGGGTTACAAAAAGCGAATACATCTTTGTCATTCCTGTGATTTTATGAGTTTTCCGGTTAGCGACCTCAAACGAAGTGACACAAAACCAATCACAATGGTGGAGATCTATTCTTTTTAAATCCTCCTTATTACACCTTAACTGTTCGCTTTGTGTTCACTCACCTTTATGGTTTGGATTACTTTTTATGCTTTTATCTATTTTATTTTTCTCCGTTCCCTTGACATGTGATAATTTAAACTAGTACACTTTCATGAAAAACTATTCTATTTTGTCTCTTTAAATGGATAACACATAATTTATTCATTGTAAATGAATTTTTTTGTGTCAACAGATCTGAAAGTTTATAGTTTGAGATGAAATTAAGCGTGAATTCATATTAAGTATGGATAGAAAGTCCCAGGGATGGTCATGTTCCTTTCTTTTTCTTACTTTCATACTTTCAAATTATTTTCGTTCGCACCTCTTTTATAATTGAACCACTAGTATCCTGATTAGCCAGGGTCAGGTACTGGTTGTCCCCTGTCTTTCAAGATCATTGCAATCCTATATATATATATATATATATATATATATATATATATATATATATATATATATATATATATATATATATATATATATGTTATAAGGTCAATCCAAAGCCAGTTTTCTGACTTCACTCTATGAATCATTTTAGATAGAATCGTCCCAACCCTCGGACTCTAAATCCGTTAGCTGTCCCCGTTTTTTCTAGCAAGTGAGCTTCATAACGCAAAGAAAGAAACTTTTCAATGATCCTAGCTAACTATCTTTTACTTCACGTTATATAACTGGTTTGTTACTTACTATCAGACTACCGTTTCCTCTCTTTTCTAAATTTATATCAATTTAATTTTGAAGTTATCTTTTACAAATTAGAATAGTGTTTATTTCTCTCATACAGTTCTAAACCATCTAGAAAAATTTTAGGTGCATAACTTTCAGGATATTTTCTCTCATGCAAGTTATTTAAAGATGCTTTTAAACTTTCAGAATGCGACGTTGTAAACAATTGACTTGTATTAAATTTTAGGTGTGGTGTTTGCGGCCGAGAGTTTGGTATGCGATGTCGTCTTATTGCGCATACTCGACGCCATACTGGTGAACGTCCGTTCCCCTGTGCTGACTGTGGAAGAGCTTTTTCAGATAGAGGTAATTTACAGCGTCATCGTTATACACATTCAAGTCAACCAAGATTTCATTGTGCTGTCTGTGGGAAATCTTTTCGTCAAGTAAGTTAATATGTTTAAGCCGTGTCACTCGAATTGTATTTCAGTTAGCCACCAATGATACTTGTGTTCATAACTGGCACTCATTTTGGAGTACTTGTTTGTACTCTAATCACACGTTGGTGTTTACTAAATTCATCTTGCGCTCTGGTGGTCATCAAAATTGTCTTAAATAGTCTGACATAAACAGATTAATTGCATCCAGTATTGCAACTGAAAGGCTAGGTCAAGATCAAGACCAGCTATCCAACTTCCAGAAAGAGTAGATGAGCATTGGCTGCATTTACAAGACACCATTAAAATGACTAGTAAAACTGCTTGGAGCTTCGAAAAGTTTCCAAGTAGTAGACACAGGATATCTGCAAGCTCCTCACAACTTGACGCTAATTACTCCATCCCAACGGATCGTAAGTATAATGGTACACTTAATTCCACCATGTGATGTGACCAACTACAAAGTGCTTGAGTTAGGACTGTTAAACTCAGTAAACATAATGTCCAAGTGAGATAAAAGCAGCAAATGCTTGTGACAATAGCTGGAAACTGTCTCAGTTTATACGAACCATTGACAGTAAGGGCTGGATGGTATGCCTATCTTACATACTTGAAAGTTTTCAGTATAATTGTTTATATATGATACCGTCGTTGATTGGACCGAATTGATCGGTCTCTATTGGCATATTGGCTCCTGTGCGGATGCCTCGATATTGTCAGTGTTCTAATTATGTAAAATGAGGAGCCCATATGCCAATAGAGACCGATCAATTCGGTTCAATCAACAACGGTATCATATAAAAACAATTATACTAAAACTATACCGGTCGCACAAGAAGTGGCTATCGTGGCTCGATGGTGTAGTGGATAACGCGCTGGCGTTTGAAGCGATCGCTCCCGAGTCGGAATCCCGGTGGGAACAACATCACTTACTGGTAGTCAGGTACATCCAGCTGAAGAGTCCCAAATAGGACAAAATGCTCATCCTGGATTCCACTGCTAGCCACTATCCATCATTCACATACTTGAAAGTTGTTTGAAATGCTGAGCGGAACACTTCAAAAATCAACTTAACTGGCCTTCTGCCCCCAACAACTTGTACTCTGTTGCATGTTTAATTGACACTGATCCATCTAACGAAGTAGAGATCTAAGCAGGGATCAAAGAGCCATAAGGCACTTGGCTCTGACAGCTTACCTCAGGTTCTTTTTAGTGATGGAAATAAAACTGAAGCCAGGGAAGTGATTAAATTGTTTTTATTCCATTACTCTGAAATGATCTTTCGATATCCATTTTTAAAAAAAGCATATGTAATTTTGATGACAGTCATTCGGGATATCAGTATGTTTCCAGTAGTTTTGAAAATATTAACCAATGTTATACTTCATAAGCTCCACAGAACTTTTGGACAAGCTAACTAGATTTGCATTAGGGTCTTAGGTCTATTATTCGCGTTTTGACACTGCGTCATATACTCGACCAACAAGCTTTATTTTTTCATATGGGGATCATCTTCCGATTGTTAGACAAGACTTTGCTCTAAAATTGTCTGTTAAATTGGGGTCTCCTTTAAAAGTTCATCAATATTTTAAAGGCATCAAACCAAAACATTTGATTGACTGAAAACCTACACCTCCTTTCAACGTTCTGAACCAGCTCACTGCTATGGGGTAGTTTTACTATCCACTCAAGACAAATGATCTCTCCAGTTTGAGAATTTTCAACAATTCATCGCGTTCAACTGCTTTTGTCTGTAAAAGATTTGTAGAATCTAGTGTATAATCTTGATTTGCTGTATTACATGTTTCAGTATGCTGAAGACAGTCATTCAAATAGTGGTCTTAAAATATAGGTTTCGATGCCTTGAACATGTATTACAAGTATATTGTCTCAACAACTCCCACCTGTTGAGAAACTATCCACTATAAACAGTAGACATGACAATAAAGTGTTTTATGATGCTATCAAGATGATTTGATTGTATACGACATAAATATTGCTATAAACCTTGTGAAGTGATGAGAGTTTGGCATATGCTGGTAGAATAACAAGTAAATATGTAAGGGCTTGATTTCTTAGGTAAACGGACTCGTCTCTCCTATATATATATATATATATATATATATATATATATATATATATATATATATATATATATATATATATTTTCAAGTCATAATTAAACCACCTTATTCCACTTCAATTCTTACCTTTACTTTTTTTCTGAAAATTCATGAAGTGTACAAAACGAAACCGATGTAGTATTCCATACTGTCTATAGCTATTTCTGTATTCAAATGATGTCATGATATCATTTTTCATACAGTGTTGGCTGTCAATTTTCCTAATCTTTATCATCTATTCACAGCCTATGGAGATCGTTTTGATGAGGGCTTTGTACCCAAAGAAAAATTGATACTTCTAGTCATGTATTTGTAATATAAGTTCCTTCATATTTAGGTATTTATGTATCTCTTATGGTTATATTCATAATTGTTATTTCTTTATATTTGTATTTTCTTTTAGGCTTCTTGTTTATCTAATCACCGACGTTTTCATTGTGCTGGAGCCACAGGTCGTCCATGTCCTTTCTGTCAACGTTCATTCCGTTCTTCATCCAGTCTTCAAATGCACATTCGGTGGAAACATCGTGCTGATGCTGCCGCAGCTGTGGCTGCAGCGGCAGCAGCAGCAGCAGCTAGCGGTTCATCTTCATTATCTGAGGCATTCACACATCTACCTGGATTAACATCATATGTCTCAACTGCAACAGTAAACGGAATTCCACCTATGCCCTTAAATGAAAGTAAGTAGGCCTAGTTATTAGGATTTTTATTGTGATAAAGGAATCTAAAACTATGACCTTAGTGGTAATTTACCTAGTTGTGGCTAGCAGAGGAATCCAGGACGTGCGTTTCGTCCTGTTCGCGTCTCGTCAGCTGAATGTACCTGCTTCCCAGTCAGTGATGTTGTTCCCAAGGAGACTCGAGCCTCGTACCCATCAATTCAAACGTCAATGCATTATCTAATAGACCACAGAAGCATGCTAGCCACCCCTTTTGGCGTTTGAATCGATGATTACGATGTTCGAGTCTCAGTGGGAACAATATCACTCACTGGGGTGCAGGTACATGCAACTGACGAGTCCCAAATCGGACGAAACGCGCGTCTGGATTTCTATGCTAGCCAAAACCAAGTAAATTATCATAATTAATATCGAGGCATCCGCATAGAGGAGTTCATATGCCCAACAGAGGTCGAACTGTTTGATCCAGTAAAACAACAGAGAATTACAAACAAATCAATGAATAGTAACATGAGCCTAATGTGATTTAAGCCTTCAACTGGAAACATTTTTTATTTGAGCTAGTAGAATAGTATCATTAGCCTTCATACTATCCAGCTTATTGCACAAACCTGTCCAAGGTTGTTTGATTGCTTATTCATAATAGAAAGGTATTTTGGATAGGATGTTAATTTTCATTGGAAACTGTTGCGTATATTGATTATTGTGTACTTACTTATCATTAGTCTACAAGAGAGATCGTATGTCACTTTAGGTTTTCTCCTTTACTTAACATCCTCAACTACCTATACTATATCGTGTTTTATAATTTTCTATCTGTCTATACCTTCAACAAAGCGTGTCTACATCTTTGAAAAAGATGTTCATATCTCTCTGAAGATTAAATCTGTACATTTGATGATTTTCTCATTCATGACGTTATACCTTATGTGCGTATGAAGTACCATCTGTTCAATAGAGGAGGTTGAATTATACTTAGGAATTAAACGATAAACAGTTTAGTGTATTGTAATTTCTTGTTTATTACATACTTGTCTATTATCATTATTATTATTATTGTTATTTATCATTATTATTATTATTATTATTATTATTATTATTATTATTATTATTATTATTATTATTATTATTATTATTATTAATCCCTTGGGTTCCTAATGGAACATAGGGCTTCAGTAGCACGTCTCCAATGCATTCTGTTCTCTAAAAATCTTTTGAACCTGGCTCCATGACAGCCCACAAGCTCTCATTTCTTCCTCACACAATCTCCTCCACGGCACCTTCGGACGCCCAACTCATCGCTTTCCATCTAGATTCCACTCAAGGGTCTGACGCGTGATGTCCCCGAATGGTCTTCTCAGTACATACCCAATCCATCTCCACTTCCTTCTGCATATTTGTTCAGCGATAGGTTGTTGGTTGGTTCGTTGGCCGGCCAGAGTTCCTTGTTGCTTATTCTTTCTGGCCATCTGAGCTTCAGTAACGAGCCAGTGTAGGCAGTTGTTGATGAATGTGTGTAGTTTGTTGGAAATGCTTTTCGTAAAGTGCCAAGTCTCTGAGCCATACAGAGGCACTGACTTGACTGAATTGGCGTTGAAAATCCGGATGTTGTTCCACATGCTGAGTGCAGAAGTTCTCCACACTAGTTTCAGGCTAAAGAACGCCTATCTTGCTTTTCCGATTCTGACTGACATCCTCGTCTGTGCCTGTGGCGCCTGTAGTTGAAACAGTGCTGCCTAGATAGGTGAAGGAGGTTACTTCCTTTAAGTTTCTCCCATTGATGGTGACTGGAGTTTGTTGTTGTTGTAGGTGTTGGTTCGGTATCTTCATCACCTCTGTCTTCTCTATGTTCACTTGAAGTCCCCTTTCCTTTCGCTGCCTCTTCTATCAACTTGTTAATTTTCGCCTGTAGATCTTCAAGTTTGTGTGACATTAGACATAAGTCATCGGTGAGTGAAATGCAAATCTCCTAAGTTCTTTTCCCCGGTCCAGTCAGCGTATCCCTCTCTTCTCGCTTGTCACTGTTTGTTGCATGATCCAGTCCACTACAATCAGGAATATCATGATGCGAACATTCCATGTCTCCACGTTTACTTTCGCTTTCATCGAGAGAAGACACATCGGCCAATTGGCTTTCCGGAAACTTTCACCAACCGGCATCATTTCGCGTCTCTGATTCCAGCGAGGAATAATTTTGTTATTATTTTTCATATTTTGTTTGTGCTTTGAAGTTTCTTAAGCGGTTGGATTTTTTTTAGGGGGTAGGATTGCTAGCCCTATGCCCGACCTTCCCTGTTTACCCGGGCTTAGGACTGGCTAGTAACTAGTGAACTAGTTAACCAGGCAAGGTTCATACTTGTTAATAATCATATTGTATTGTCTGATTTGAGCAAAAAACTGAAAACATTACTCCTTTTTTCTTCCACTATATAACAGTTAGTTTTTGATGATGTGTCATTATTATGGTGGAACACATTATATATATATATATATATATATATATATATATATATATATATATATATATGCATACAACCTCATAATGGATAACTTCTTAATGCATATAATCATGCATATTTTTCTTCAGGTAATCTTGATCTTCAAAATACAACTATCTTGTCTTCCACATCAATTGCTGCCTCAAGTATGAATAATGTCTCTGGTCTAATGACTCCTATTACCAGTCATAGTGGTGGGCGAATGGATTCTATGTTAGGGACAACAACAAATATTGGATCACCGAATAAAAGAAAATGGCGTAGAAAACCAAAACCGGAAGAAGCTCGAAATGCATTTGGAAAATTGGTAGGTATATTTGTATCATTTTATAAAATAACATTCTAAGCATTGAATGTTCATGGGTTAGACACGTTAGCCTCGTTATGAATATAGATTTTCTTTCAATTTTTGCTATTTTGTTTGTATTATAAATTTCTTAAAATGAATGATAACAAGCAAAGGTTTTCTAGGAACTTTACTACAATTCTAATTATTTGCGTTCATACATACAGTAAAAGTGTTGTCCGTATATCATTAATATGATTCTATTCGTAGTATGGACCGTATTCCGTGGTGTCACCACATGAGTAACGCAGAAGTCAGGCTCAGGTGTAGAGTTTTAGGGAGTAAAGGTAAGTCAGTTGACGAGGTTATGAACCTTTATCGACTGAAATGGTTGGGACATGTGTTACGTATGTTTAGTCGCCGATCACCTCGTCACACAATGTTGGCCGAAGTAGGTTCAGGCTGGAAAAGGCCCGAGGTGGCCAGACTAAAACATGGCACCAATGTATGAAGTCTCTGACTGTTGGTTTGAGCCATGTGGGTCGATGTAGACTGGGTGGTTGGGGTCTGCAGGCAAGAGGATCCAGTGGTCGGAGACTGACTCTAGGTGATGACATGACTGAGAACCGATGTGAGTGGCTCAGATGTATACACACATTATCCTCATTTTAACGACGCTATACCGAACCCCACCATCTTGTCATTCTTCCTTCCTTTCTTTTCGTACTTCATATTTCTTTTGAGTGAATTTTGTTTTTTTCATCTTGCAGTTCACTGTTCTTTTTACTTGATGTACTGATTTGAGATGTGGCAAGTTGGACCATTATACAGTAATGCCTGGTCCTATGTTGATACTGATGATGATTCTATCAGTTTTCGATTAGCTTTTGAACTATCAAACTCTAGATTTGAAGGAAACAAATAGAAAAGTGCTCAGTTTCACAAAAAGTGGATTATTTTTTTTACATCGAAACTGTATATTTATCAACACTTTAAGGCAACATTTCAGCAAATTTTCACATGAGTTAGGTTGACTTTCATGACACAACCAAAGTCTATGATAGATGTATTTGTGTCTATTTTCACGCCAACGGTTGCGCTATATTTCAGTTGAATGACTTTAAAGTATGTATGGTGAGTCGACATTAACTTGAAGACCAGGGAACACCTTTGTTACCCTACTTCTTAAAAAATATGCACTCACGATCTTATGCGACGTTATACCAGAGAGTTTCAGGTTTTACAATAGACACATTACCATCCAGCTTTTGCGTTGGAATCTAGTGGTTAATGGTTCCTAACTTTTGCGTATTGTCAATGTAATGAAACCGTCCTTTATGGAACCGTGGCTTAGTCAGTAGTGTAGAAAGATGACTACCGACCAGTGGGTCATGGGTTCGAACCCCGCACCACCCACCGAAGTTTGGGCAGCTATGTAATATCGCTAACCCTCATGCTTTAGCTGTAGTCCGTTGCCTACTTTGCGGATGTACACAAGGTAGCTAAGTGAGTTTCATTCTTTCGCAACTGGCCTTCAGTGCTGTCAGTGGGTGACTGTCTTCACACCCAACTTCATGGACCGTACAAGTCACTAGTTTTTATTAGAACTTTAGAGATAATTTAAGGTCTTATGAGGATAACGACTAATTAAACCGATCCACTGGAGTGTTATTAAAATGTCTGCATAGTGAAGGCATAGTAGTACTTTTTTGCTTTGAATTCTTTTTCAATGATTATTATTCATCTTCACATTATTCAGCATTACCTTTTATTGTAGACTGGAGATGGATTGAATATATTGGCTGGTATCAATTTAAGTGAAGGAATCGATGTAAATGCTGCTGCAGCTGCGGCTGGGGCAGCTGCAGCTGCAATTGGAGGTCCAGTTCCCTTGGATCGTAAGGGAAGACCCTGCAACTATCCTTGTCCTGCTTGCCCACGTCGCTTCGCTTTCCAGTGTCGTCTCGCTGCTCATCTACGATGTCATACTAATATCCGACCGTTTATTTGTATTGATTGTGGTCGTGCATTCACTCAGAGAGGTTATTTAGTTCGTCATGCAGCTGTTCACAAATTGGATAGACCTTTTTCTTGTGGGTTATGTGACCGTTCGTATAAACATTATGGTTCACTTGTAAATCATCGACGAACACATAGTAAGGGAAGTTCATCAAATCTAGGATGTTTAAATCTTCTTGGGACAATTACATCAAATGTTGGGACGTTGTCAAGCTTAGAGGAGGTCGTAAGCGGTGCATTGGGTCAATGCAATAAAACAGACCCATCAGATGCAATGGGTGGACCGACTACAATCACGTTGCTCCCTGTTAGTAAAGTTGAGGAAATTCTACCCGGTGATCTTAGTGGTTCTGTACAGCAAGTATGTTTATCATCAGGCAATAATATATTAACAGTTTCGGATGCCCAAGAACAACAACGAAATTCAGATCAATCACAAGTGTCCTCCCATCAGCTGACTGCTACTGCAGTATGGCCGATTCTAGCTACAGGTGGGATGAATCATGTTTCTCAAGCACAATTGATCCCATCTTCTGTACAGCAATCACGACAGGCTATGGTTTCTGGATCGCATTTCTCTACTATAACGATCTCACCTACACAAATAGCTCAATCCAACCAGCCATCATCTCAGCATCAACTCCCACTTGTGACTTCAAGACCTCAACTAGCTCAACCAACAAGCACAACTATGTTATCAGCTAGTGCTACTGGAGGTACTCCTACTTTTGTAACTCTCCCTCTATTTAACGGACCATCACAAAATAATATGACAGAATCGGATAGATCTGTCAATGGTCAGTTAACACCTCATTCTCATCACCAGTTCCATTGTCCAACTAGTACACTATCAGATTCAGTACAACACCAGCAACAGCAACAACAGCATCATCTTCAAATTTCACAGAGTACTACACCACTTCAACATAATCAAAATCCATCTCAAACACAGAATAATTCATCTGCTGGAGGAGGAGGTGGTGGCGGCGATTCAAATAATACAGCTCCAGTCTTACATGTTTTACAACCATCGCCGAGCATTTTCTTTTCACCATATTACTTACCACATTCGGCAGCATCTCAAATGTAGGCCAGAAAGAAGTGTTTAGGATTTCTACTGCTGATATTTTATGTAATTGTGTGCGTCTGTGTACAGCTCAATGTGGAAGATACTACTACTTCTACAGGATATTGTTTTTAACAAAAAATCTCTTTTTTTTTCTAAAATTACAACTTTAAACGATGATTAGGATTATATACCCTGTGTGTATTTCAAAATACTCTTGTGCATCTGAATCACGCAGTAGACACACAAACACACGCGCTCCCGCGCTTACTTGTATTTGCAAGTACTCCATATTGCGAATTATTATTATTATTATTGATACTGTTACTATTATCATGATTACTAAAACTACTTATACTTTTATTGTTATTATTCTATTAAGTATTAATTATCAATTAACATGTGATCTCTGTTTTCTGCCTAATTGTTATGTTTTTACCCTTTATCCTGTATGAATTTTTATCATTTAGGGTTTCATTGAAATTTATGTTGACAATAAAAGATGCATATTGTGAATTGCATTTCTCCACTTCTCTTTTTGTTTTCCTTCATTTTGTGTTACTTACACCTGAATTTATTTCATGAATGATCGAAGAATAAATCTACAATCAATCGTGTACTAGTGCTGCTGACGACGACAACGTTATTGTTGTTGTCCTCTTATCCTCTGCCTCTTTTTTTTTTTAATTGACTCTTTAACGCAACTGATCATTTTTTTTGTTATTATTATTATTATTTTTGTCTCCAGAGATCTCTTTTTCTATGCTTTTCTTTGTTTACTTTCTTTTAAATGTGTTGTGCTGTATGAAATATTCTTCTATTGTTCCATTCTTCCTTGTTTATTTATTGCTGATTATTGTTTTCTTCAGAAACATGAAAAAAAAAGTCTCAATCATTGGTTGCTTCAATGAGATTTTTATGTGTAATGTTGTTGTTTTGTTTGTTTTCACTTCCTCTCTCTCTCTCTCTCTTCTCCCCTCTTATTTTGTCTATATCTATTGTCTTGTGTGTTTCTTTTAACCCAGGAGAAAGAGGCAGAAGGAGAGAGAGAGAGAGAGTTGATTTTAATACTCCCTACATTATTACGCTTATATATGCATAATTATAAAACTGAGAGAGGTAGTGTACATGTGTATGTACTTATATTCTGAATCGAATGCAAAGTAATCATCTGTTCATTTCTTTCTTTGATATATATATGCCTCTTTAATCTATATCCATATATATAAATGTATAATGTGTAATTTGATATTGTCTATATCTATGTATTTATAATGTACTTTTTATCGTTTAGTTTTTTAATGTAATCTTAGCTTCATTGTCTCTTTTTCTCTCATTTACGTATATCTTATCATCTCTATATGGGGTATCTTTATTTTTACTATTGACATTATCTGTGTATTGGTTGTTCAATACTATCATTAATGATTTATAACTAGTAAATTATCATCATAATCGACTAATTAGTAGTAGTCGTAGTAGTAGTAGTAGTATTCATATTTTCTTCAGTAGTAATTATACTACTCAACACAAATACACAGTACATCTTTCCGTTGTGTAGAGAGAATTAACTAACCCATAGTGATGATGGGGTTTTGAAATTGCTCATCATCTCCAGCCAAATGATTATTCGACATTCTTTTTTCATCCTGCCAAAAATCCTGGATGTTCATGGTTGGTTTTACTTGATCAAGGTTCAGAGCAGTAGACATTCTTTTTTTTCTTCTCTCTCTCTCTCTCTGTTTGTATGTGCTTCACAATCCCATTACCTGTTCATGTATTGAATAAACTTCGTTTTTATTTTAGCGGTTCCTATTTTCTTTTGAAAAAAAACTTACGATCAACCAATGTGTATCTATCCGCATTTTCCTATTTACCCGGTACGGTTTAGTCATACATAACTACACATGCACACACGCTTACAAATATATATATATATATATATATATATATATATATATATATATATATATATATGTCTGATTCACACTTGTTCTCTTGATTACAATAAATAATGATAATAATTATTTTTCACTTGACTTATGTCAACAACTGCTACACAAAATTATATACGCTAAATGATTATTTACGTCTTCCTATGTGGAATAGCTGACAACAATCTGTAGGTATGTGTGTTCACCCCTCCTCTGCCTAACCTGTTCTTACAACTTCCGATGTTTGTTCAACTATCTCATTCATCGCTATTTTGACAAAAAGAAGAAGAAATATGTAAACCACGACTTTTATACATACATACTGCATATACAATGAGGCGACAGCAGGGGAGTTAACGCCGTTCATTGTGTGCGTGTGTGTGTTTGTGAAGCAAACAAGCTTGTTTTTATTGTACTTCATTTCTTTCTCTGTAAAAAGCACTTTTTTCATGTTATTATTGTTAGTTGTTTTGTTTTTTCATCCGCTCAGTAGTTCGAGTGCAGGCATCAAAGCATTAGCGATGTCTATAAGAAATTTAAAGTGAATAAATGTCTACAATCTGAGTGAATTTCAGACAGTGTAATAATTAACCTGATGGTGACTAGCAGTGGAATCCAGGATGAGTATTTCGTCCTATTTGGGGCTCCTCAGCTGGATGTACGTGCACTCCAGTAAGTGATAGTGTTCCAACTGTGACTCGAAGCGTGTACTCATCGTTTTAACATTGAAGCGTTATCCACCAATGTATGACTGCCACTTCTTGTGTAATGGGTATTGGTCAATGGTAATCTCATCCTTATGGTATTTAAACTCATCGGATTAAATATGGACAAAGTCTGATATGAGTTGTGCGGGATTTCGATCAACTACTATCCAATTTTATACAGAAGACGCAAAAAACCAAAACAACTTAGCATAGTTTACCACAATCCTACTTTCATGGTTTAGGGATTGTAGATGGTTACTGAAATTCACAGGTTCTCTTTTACCAGTTTTCGACAAAACAATAGGAAGACGTAAATTGTCTGAATCGTGTAATGTATTTGCGCAACACATTTCGAACTATCTGATCACACACGTACTTGTCATAGGTATTTATATAAAAACTCATGAAGATAAGGGGTGAGAAAATAAAAAGGGGTCAGGTAGGAAGGCTGACTTAAAGGCTAAATAACAATGAAAATCAATAGAGCGAAAAAATAGTAGTACATCGAACTTGGTTTTTCAATAGTTGTTGTGACAACAAATTGTTTATGAACACATAAAGGTGGTTTCAACTTCCTAATAGCTAAGGCTTCAACAAATTTCAGGATCCCTCCCGAACATGTTTTGTAAATAGGTGTAAAGGAAGTAGCCACATCAATCTTGTGACTTGTCTCAACGATATGTTTGGCGATCGAAGAACTTGGACGTCTGCTACCAACATTTATAGGTTCAGGTGATTTAATTTGCTTCTGAAGCCACTGGAATATGTTCCGAGGCCCTTACTTGCATGGATCTATTAGTCCTCCCTATGTATGTGTCACCACACGTACATTTGAATTGGTAGATACAATGGGATGTGACATTATCGTTCACATGCTGTGGGGGTTTGGGGGAATATACGGGCTTCGTGGTTTCGATTACTCGAACCCTGGCTGCATAGTAAGTCCTTTTAACAGCAGTGTTAAGTCTATGCTTGAGGATTGCACTCTGAGAGTCACCTTTGTACGGAAGGCTGATAAAGACATCCTTCTTTGGGACTGACTTCAGTTCTAGTTTTGACGCTCTGCTGATTTTGTTCTGCCTGATAAATGTTGATGGATAGTTATTTTCCAACAAAATATCGGTCAGTGTTCCTCTTTCATCTTACCAGTTTTCATAAGTTATGGTTATAGTCTTTCTTAGTTTATTACTGAACTTTTTTTTACTTACTCTTTTATAAACTAGGCTATTAGTCAACGCGTTTATACATATACTTGTTGAAATTACTATGTGATGGGAATCAGTGACAAGTTGTATTAAGTCGATAATAATGCTGTGAATGAAGTTCTTATTACTGAACTTGGTAAATAAAGTTTATTGTAGGTATTAGTGTAAATCTTCATCATAAGCAATCATTACCCGTGTATAGATGCTTGAGTACAGTGAATTCTTGAAGTTTCGTACTTATTTTTAAGCATTAATGTGTATCGATTACAGTACATAACTTGGCTGATTGATTAATTTTTCGAAGGTTATAGAGATTCAGGTTTCTGAAGTTATCTGTTACATAAATCGTCAGATAACACAGATGTTAAATCTACTCTATCAAGAGTATATGCTGTGTTTTGTACCGAAAATTCGAGCTGTACTCTTGGTTAATTTTTTAATTTCATACTCACGTTTCTGTAGTGTAGACTTCATTCAACCGGATAACAGGAGAAGGATGTTGAAGGAATTTTCTTGGAATCCATTTTTATGCAATTACTGTTCCAGCATGTGTCTGTATTCAATTAGTTCTAAAAAAAGTCCGAGTATTTCAGCGCTCACTGATAGTTATGAAGAACAGTGTTTATTTAGTCCCATAATTATTTGTTTCTATAGAACTGGTAGTTAGGTCTTGCTAATTAAGATTCGTACTAGACGTTAATTAGACCTTGCTTACACTACTTATTCAAAATAAATCAGCACAAAATTTTGTGATAACTTCGTTGAAGTTTGGATTTACCGTTTATTTTCAAGGTAACTGCAACTACAAAACCAATCCCAGTGGAATTATATATTATTATTATTATTATTAGTCCCTTGGGTTCCCTGGTGGAACATAGGGCTTCACTAGCACGTCTCCAGTGTACTCTGTTCTCTGCAAAATTTTGAACCTCGCTTCACGACAGCCCAGAAGCTCTCATTTCCTCCTCGCACGATCTCCTCCATGTCACCCTCGGACGTCCAACTCGTCGCTTCCCATGGGGATTCCACTCGAGGGCCTGACGCGTGATGTCCCTGAATGGTCTTCTCAGTACATGCCCAATCCATCTCCACTTCCTTCCACTGCATATTTGTTGCGTGATTGGTTCTTGGTTGGTTCGTTGGCCGGCCAGAATTCCTTGTTGCTTATTCTTATTATTCTGGCCATCCCATCTGATCTTCAGTGTCAGTATCTAGTGAGCGTAGGTGGCAGTTGTTGATGAATGTGTGTAGTTTGTTGGAAATGCTTTTCGTAAAGTGCTAAGTCTCTGAGCCATACAGAGGCACTGACTTGACGCTAGTATTGAAAATCCGGATCTTGTTTCACATGCTGAGTGCAGAGGTTCTCCACACTAGTTTCAGGCTAATGAACGCCTATCTTGCTTTTCCGATTCTGACTTTGACATCCTCGTCTGTGCCTGTGGCTCCTGTAGTTGAAACAGTGCTGCCTAGATATGTGAAAGAGACTACTTCCTTTAAGTTCCTCCCATTGATGGTGATTGGAGCTTGTTGTTGTTGTAGGTGTTGGTTGGGTATCTTCATCACCTCTATCTTCTCTATATTCACTTCAAGTTCTGTCTTCGTTCCTCAACCTCTTCTATCAACTTGTTGGATTTTGCCTGTAGATCTTCAAGTTTGTGTGACATCAGGCACAAGTCATCGGTGGCGAAATCCAGATCTTCTATGTTCTTTTCCGCAGTCCAGCGTATCCCCCTTTTCTCGCTGCCCACTGTTTGTTGCATGATCCAGTCGAGTCGACCACAGTCAGGAATATCATGGGTGATAGTGGACAGCCTTGTTTTACTCCTGTCTTCACTTCACTTCAAAAGCATCACTGAGCTGAGCTTCCCATTTTGAATTACTTGGCATGTGGCATCTTCGGAATATATATATATATATATATATATATATATATATATATATATATATATATATATATATATATATATATATAGAGAGAGAGAGAGAGAGAGAGAGAGAGAGAGAGAGAGAGAGAGAGGTTAAGAAATGATAACCATTAGACCAAGTTCAGCGCTGGGGTTCACAACAGCCCCTAAGAAATAACTTTTTTGGTATGAACTCCAAGTTCTTGAATATTTTAAGGTTGGTATATACAGTTAGGAACAAGACAACTCTTTGATGTACGCCCTTGATGATATACACTAACAAGAGCAGAGTTTCAAAGGGGCCTCGTACCCACTTCACGTGATATGGATTTGAGAAGCAAATTGAGATCGAGATATATGCATGGAAAAGTCCAATGGCAGCGTCTCTGACTGCAGCACTGACTAATACAAAAGAGGTATCGGTTACCTTGAAGTTGCATCGCAATTATAAGTCGCCTAGATTGTCGACCACTTTAAAGACTAGAGCAATACAATTCAGCTGGTACTAGGGCCTAAAGAACATAATATTGACTATTTTGTAGTCACTAATTAGTGGACTATTAACATACAATGTTCTTACTGTTGGTAAACAACTTGATATCTAAAAACACTGACTGATTTTAATGATACTAACAAACCCAATCTTGTTAAATACATTCTTAGTAATTTCTTCATAAAACTATACGCGCACGAAACAGTCCTACCACAACTGCGTATGGCAAATCATGTAATATGTTCTGATGCTGAAAGAAAGGGGTGTGGAACTAAGATTGGGTATCCTGGTAATCCCAGTGGTTTCATAGCCATAGGTTTTGTGAGTAAATGTGTTGGTATCATGGTCTTATTGTGCTCTCTGAGCTGGGTTGTTTAGTCGTAGAGCTCTCATCGTTTTGCTAGACATCATCAGCACTAACTTTAGTGTGAAGTGAGCTGGCAATATCTCTCTGTGAGTGATTTAGTAGCTTGCCCTGAAGAACTGATTTGTGATTAGTTGTTTCCTTCGATTGTTGTGTCATTGACTGACTGTATACATTTTCCTGTTGGCTGTTCCTCTCCTTGAACTCTCACCTTCTTGTCGTTCATTTTTTTTATTCGTTGATAGATTGGGTCTATGTCTATACCTCTATTGATTGCTGAATGCCAAACTTCTAGGAATTCTCTGATATTCCTTATGTTTCCTCTCTCCATCCAA